TCTGTTTTATCCTTAGTGTAATCATTCTTATTCAATAGGGAAAGAATTTGTGGGGCTTTAGGTCAAAGATATTCCTGTTGCTGGTTCTTAGCCAAAGTCCTATAGTAGAGAGGAAGCAAAGGATACTTTGTCTAGAATAGGAACTCTCTCCTTTCACACTTAAGTGCTAATGGGATTCTTTGAGTCCTCTTACTTCTCTCAGCCTGAGTGGCTGGGGCCTAGGGATCTGAGTGGTCTATCTTGCCCACCCTACTAGACTCCTTGCTCAGCTGCTCTGCCTCTGTGATAGCCCTTATGACTATTTCTTTAAGAAGAATCAAGAGTTTAAAACAGTTCTCTGGGCTTTGGCTTGTGAGCAGATGCCAAGGGACATGATGCCAACTACCTTAGTTTCTGCCAGGAGAGATTAATATTGAGCAGAACAAGTATTGGTATTCTAGTTTGCTCTCTGCTGCTGTGAAAAAGCACCATGACCAAAAGCAACTTGAGGAAGGAAAGGGTTTATTTCATATTACAATTCCCAGATCACAGTCTATCATTGAGGAAAGTCAGGGCAGGAGTTCAAGGCAGGAACTGAAGCAGAGACCACAAAGGAACACCTGCCCAGGGGTGGCACCACCTATAATTGGCTGGTCCCTCCTACATCAATTAGCAATCAAGAAAGTGCCCCACAGACATGCTCATAGGCCAGTCTGATGGAGGTAATTCCTCAGTTGAGATTTTCTCTTCCCAAATGTCTCTCATTTGTGTCAAGGTGACAAAAACTAACCAGCACATTGGCTGAAATGGATTTCTGACAAATACTTTAACCCTATCAGGAGAGAAATGAACAAAATAAGAAAACTACAAACATGGGGATTTTTTATCTGGTACCCTCCCCACACACTTTTTTTTTTTCCAAACATCAAGAAAACTCTTATGACTGGACATTTCTACTTAAGTGTACAATTGGTCAGACTCCTGAACTGCTATCTCCCTCTGAGGAAAACTGTCTGGTTTGTTTTTTTTTTCAAGCTTGGTGTTTACCAGAAGGCATTTGAACATCTTGGAAATGCATTGACTTATGACCCTACCAACTACAAGGTATTTCAGATTGTGAAACTACAGAGCCTTTGGATAAATGGTCCCATGACTCCTAAAGATCAGACTCTAGAAAACAGGGAACAGCTTTTACATTCTGAATACCCAAGAAGAGCAGGTGTGGTAGCATACCTTTAATTCCAGCACTCAGGAAGCAGAGGCAGGTGGATTTCTGTGAGTTCCAGGCTAGCCTGGTCTACATTGTAAGTTCCAGGCTAGCAAGGGCTACATAGTGAAATCTTTTCTCAAAAAAAACCACAGAAAATCCAAGGAGTTAACTTTGCATGTGTGTGTGTTGGTAGTAGGAAGCAAAACCAGAGACTGTGCATGCCGGGCAAATATTCTATGATTGAGCTAAATCACCTTTTATTTATAATCCCCACCCACCCCATCTTTTTGAGACAAGGTCTCCCTATAGCCTCAGCTGGCCTGGAATGTGCTATGTAGACCAGGCTGGCCTTGAATTCACAAAGATCCGCCTGTTTCTGACTCGCAAGTGCTGGATTAAAGGTGTGTGCCATTACACCCAGCCTATTTATATTTCTTCTTGTTTTTTTTTTTTTTTTTTTTTTTTTTTTTTTTTGTTTTTTTTTTTTTTGAGACAGGGTCTCCCTGTAACCCCAGCTGTCCTGGAACTCGCTATGTAGACCAGGCTGGCCTTGAACTCACAGAGATCCGCCTGCCTCTGCCTCCGGAGTGCTGGGATTAAAGGCGTGCGCCACCATGCCTGGCTTTGTATTTCTTAGAAAAAAAAAATTTTTTTTAAAGATTTTATGGCTGGGCGTGGTGGCACATGCCTTTAGTCCCAGCACTTGGGAGGCAGAGGCTGGTGGGGCTCTGTGAGTTCAAAGCCAGCTTGGTCTACATAGTGAGTTCCAGGACAGCTGGGGTTACAAGGAGACCTTGTCTCAAAAAGACAAAAAAAAAAAAAGGTTTTATGTGTGGGACTGTGTGAGTTTATGTGCAACAAGTGTGTACAGTGCCCAAGGAGACCAGAAGAGGGTATTGAAGCCCTGGAACTTGAGTTACAGGGGATTATGAGTTGTCAGATGGGTACTGGAACCTGAACCTGGGTACTCTGCATGAACAGTGTGCTCTCTAAATCTCTGAGCCATCTCTCCACCCCCTGTAATTCTTTTTGAAACAGGGTCTCTCTGTTTCAAAAGCTGGCCTGGAACTTGAACAACCTGGCCTAGATCTCACAAGATACGCCAGCCTCCGCCTCCCAAATGCTGGGATTAAAGGTGTATGCCACCACACCTAATTTATAATTCTTGTTTTTAAAAGTTAGCCCTTATCTGAAAATATTATAAAGTGTTGATGCTGCTTCTTATCTTCAAAACATCTATCAGTGTTTGTTGAAGGCAAAATCAGTACTGTTATAGTTTGTGTTATTTGAATAGTTGTGAAATGATATCTTGATCCCAATGAATTTGAAATTACTTTTGTCCAGATGTGACTTTGGGGATGATGAACATCACATGTGGCCGTTCAACACAGACTCAGTTCTTATTTAGGAAGTCATTAGCCTTGCTCTTGGCTCCCCGCCTTGACTTTTTTTTTTTTTTAATATTTTATTATTTTTATGTGTATAAGTGTATTGCCTGTATGTATCTGAGTGTATAGATGTTGTGCAATGCCACGGAGGTCAGAAGAGCGCTTTGGATTCCTCTGGAACTGGAGTTAAGGACAGTTTGTAGCTGCCATGTGGGTGCTGGGAATTGAACCCAGGTCCTCTGCAAGAGCAGTCAGTGCTCTTAACCACTGAGCCATCTCTCCAGCCCCCACCTTGACTCCTTTCCTTGAAGCAATGATAGGGCTGGGCTGATGAAAACTAAAGCCCGCTCCCATTCCATCCTAAGCCAGAAAGGGCTGGGTATTAAATAGCCAAGGACAGGTATGTTTGAGTTGTCTGGAGTACTTGGTGTACCAAGTAGGAGTGGCCAAGAACAGATTAAAGGTAGTAGGCACTGAAATACTGACTTCCTTAGCTAGAAGTAGGAAACAGCCAGGAAGAACAAGTGACATCTTTTTATTGTTTTAAATGCCTTAAGACATTTCTTAGCACTTGTCCCAGTAGTTTGGATATTTTTGTCTCTGAGAGAAGTTTCTCAGTCTTCTATGTGCTGATAGGCTTACTAATTACACCTAGGAGGCTGCTTAGGGCATGGACTTTGGGGGAATGATTGAATTACTAACTTCCCATGCATGGTGTTTTCAGGCTATCTTGGCAGCAGGCAGCATGATGCAGACCCATGGGGATTTTGATGTTGCTCTCACCAAATACAGAGTTGTAGCTTGTGCTGTTCCAGAAAGCCCTCCACTTTGGAATAACATTGGAATGTGTTTCTTTGGCAAGAAGAAATATGTGGCAGTGAGTGTCTCCTCACAGTCCTTGTCTGTACTATTCCATGTTGGGTCTGCTGAGCTTGCCCTACACCAACTGAGTGCCCCCTTTCTGCAGGCTATCAGCTGCCTGAAACGAGCCAACTACTTGGCGCCCTTCGATTGGAAGATTCTGTATAATCTGGGCCTTGTGCATTTGACTATGCAGCAGTATGCATCAGCATTCCATTTTCTCAGTGCAGCTATCAACTTCCAGCCAAAGTTGGGGGAACTCTACATGCTCTTGGCTGGTAAGGGACATTTACATATAAACCTCTTGTGATCTGTACTGATGGAAAAGTTAATTAGGATCATAAGTTAGTGGCTTCATATCCCAAAGTAGCCATTCCTTTGGCGATCCTATAGGAATCTGAATTATTGTATGGAAGAAATTTGAAAGGAAAAGGTAACCAAGTATCTGATTGCTTCTAACCTGAGGGATTTCAACTCAGAGTCTTAACAGGTTAAATCAGGATTATCCCTAGTTTACCTCTTACCACTTTTCCCTGTTGGTGTGATTTATTTAGTCCTTTATTTTTTGGTGCTGGGGACTGAGCCCTGGGCCTTGAATGTAGCTGCTCTCTACCACTGAGCTGCACATGTTGCCCTCAAACACACTAAAACTCAATTGAGTTCAGTAATTGTGTTAAGAACCTGGGCTTTTGGTGGAGTTCTGCCTCCACTACTTACTAACTGTACCTAAGGTTGTTAGGAGTACATGCTTAAATGCAACAAATATTAAATCTTAGTCTTTTTTGACATTTGTGCCTGTGTATATGTGTGGATGTATGTGCCACATGCAGGTCAGATGACAACATGAGAGAGATGTTTCTCTCCTCCCACCATGTGGGTTCTAGGGAATGAACTCAGGTCATAGACTTGGCAGCAAGTGTCCTTACCCACTAAACTATCTCATTGGCCCCTGCTATTAGAATTTTTTCTTACTATAATTGGTCTTTAGTAGTTCAAGTCAAACTACAGTACCATTTCATCCCTGAAATTCCATTTATGCTATACAAAAATGAAGCTAGGAAGAGGTGGCTCATGCCTATATCCCTAGCACTTGGGAGGTAGAGGTAGGAAGGTCATGAATTTGAGGCCAGCCTGAGCTACATTAGTGAGACCCTGACCCTATTTCAAAAAGTCAAAGTTAAAGTCATTTTAAAGTACTAAATACTCCTTCTAGAGAGTATTTGCTCCACACACTAAACTTAGATTTCTCCATGTCTTCATTGACAGTCATCTTCTGGTGTTATTTATGAAATGAAGAGCAAAAACAACTGTATGGTGGTCATTTGGAGACTGCCAGAATACAAAGGTAGCTCATTTCTAGAAGACACACAGAAAGTAAACTGCCTATTGCTTACTGTAGGGCAGAAGCAGCAACTATAACCTGAACAAGTAGAGCCAGCCTCCACACAATCTTGAAGGACAAGTTAGACTTGAATGTCCAAATAACCACTGTGAATAGAAGCACGCAGCTGTGGGGTGGCAGTGTCCTCTACAATGTGGATAATAAGGTTAGAGAATTTGGTGGGTATTGAGCCAGGAACTATATTCTGGAGGGCCATGGAGAGTTTAAGGAATGCAGACATTGTCCTAGAGGTTGTTTGTCCATCTGTATTCCTAGTTCTCATAGCTGCCTGTTTAGCTGATGAGGAGGTGGAGTTGCCAGGACTATCAGAGCAACTCTTTTTACGTTTATCTATTAGGCTTCTGAGAACTCCTGATTTTTAAAAAAGGAGGGAACTGCGGCTGGAGAGATGGCTCTGGTTAAGAGCACTGACTGCTCTTGCAGAGGACCTGGGTTCCATTCCCAGCACCCACATGGTGGCTATGAACTGTCCTTGACTCCAGTTCCAGGGGAAATCGAAGCCCTCTTCTGAACTCTGTGGCATTGCACGACACGGGTACACTCACATACATACAGGCAATACACTCATACACATAAAAAAAATATTTTTAAAAAAGGGAACTGTACTGTCACAAAAGATTACAGATCATGGTTATAGATGGAGAACAAGTGAGGATTCTTAAAGAAGACAGTGGTGTAGTCAGATGTTTGTAACGTAGTGAGATCCTGGCAGTAGTGTGAGAGATGGAGGTAGGTGGGGACTGAATGAAAATTGAAAGCCTGCCAGGTGTGGTGGCGCACACCTTTAATCCCATCACTTGAGAGGCAGAGGCAGGCAGATCTTTGTGACTTCGAGGCCAGCTACATAGTGAGTTCCAGGACAGCTGGGGCTGGCTACAGGGAGACCCTGTCTCAAAAAGACAAAAAAAAAAAAAAGAAAAGCTTGGCTTAGCCTTGAATGAGGGCAGTGCCAGAAATACGGTGGCAAAAGTAAAATGCACAGAACTTGGTAACCAATTAACTATGGAGAGGTATCTAAGCTGAGTGGTGGAGTACACAGTGGTGCCATGAACTGGGAGAGATGTGGGGGATTAATATTCTTTTCCCTTTCTAAGCTGTGCTCTCCTAACTTCCTCTGTTGCAGTAGCTTTGACTAATCTGGAAGACATAGAGAATGCCAAAAGAGCTTATGCAGAAGCTGTCCGCCTGGATAAGTAAGTGATCTGCTCTGCAGGAAATGGTACCAGGGAAGGTTGGACTCTGCAGTTTGCCATAGTCACCCAGGCACGCATCTATGGCACAAGAGTGGAAGGTTGTAATTCCTAAGCAAGCAGGGCTCAGCAGGAATTAAAAGCCAGAGAAAATACTTCAGTTCTAGTTTAGTAATCAGGAGGCCAAAGGTAGTTACAAGCTGGCAGTGGGTTGCTGATAAGCTGTGGGCTAACTAGAATATCAGATGGGACCCAGCTTAATCTAAGCTTAACTTGATTCTTCTGGGATTCATTCCGCTAGCATGTGCTAACTACAGGGATCATCTGTTCAACTCTTCCTTGGGTGGTTTTGTTGATGCCAGACTTGGTCTTAATACCTGCGTTGCTTCTTGGGCAATTCATTGACTCTGCCCCACAGGTCCATATAGCACTTGGCTGTGTAATGGGGACAGTTTTGTTTTGGTTTCATATGAGAAGGATCTCCAAATGACTAATTATTGCAAAGCCCCAGCCCCATAGAGTCCCTATCTGTCACAGGTGTAACCCTTTAGTAAATCTGAACTATGCTGTGCTGCTGTACAACCTGGGTGAGAAAAGGGGTGCCCTGACCCAGTACCAGGAGATGGAGAAGAAGGTTAACTTTCTTAAGGACCATAGCTCTCTGGAATTTGACTCTGAGGTATGTCTTTTATTAGTAACTGGACATCATTCAGCAAGCTGTCAGCAGATGTTTAGATCCAAAAGAAAGGTACTTACTGTAAGCTCCATGGCTCTTTGGACTTTGAAGTTACAGCATGAATTCACCAGTTAGTTATAGCCTGAGACAGACTTTCCTAGAAGAAAATAACAATTAAAATAATGCTATTTTCTCACTAATACAACTCATCCAAGTTAAGGTCTTTATCTTTTTGTAGCTTTCTCCCACCTCCCCTAATGAAGGGACAATGCTGCATCAAACTTGAATTACTGCATTCTGTGATCTTGTAAGAATCCCCTTGCCATCCAGTAAGGGCAGCTTGTATTCTCTGCTGCTTGAGAATGAGTTCCTTAGCAAGGCATAGTAAAATAGTTGTAATTCCAGCACTTGAAAATGATCTCCTTGTTGTAAGGATTTCTCCCTCAACTGCTACTAGCAACAGGAACAGGTGCAGTTAACAGCCCCTGGTGAAAGGCCCAGGAAAGAGCAACTGGGCTCTGCTGGTATTGCCAATAACTTTTTTTCTTCTTCCCATGTGGGTATAAGATGGTAGAGATGGCTCAGAAGTTGGGAGCTGCCCTCCAGGTTGGAGAGGCCCTGGTCTGGACTAAACCAGTCAAAGATCCCAAATCAAAGCACCGGACCACTTCAGCCGGCAAACCTGCCACTCTGGGCTCTAATCAAGCTCTGGGACAGGCGATGTCTTCCGCAGCTGCATTCAGGAAGCTTCCTTCAGGTAGGATGGCTATACAAGCCCCGTGAAGACTTAGTGGGGACAAGTTGCTTGTGCCAGCAGAGACTGAAGCTTGAGTGGGGCTTGTATTCTTCAGACTTATAAGCATTTAAGTATTTAGTATTAGCCAGGACAGAAAGCCCAGGCTAGCCAAACTCTCATTTGTTCTCTTAGGGCAGGCTGTGTAGGGTAACAATATGGCTGGCTCCACTGGATGGTCAGTGCTCTGGGTCAGTTTTCAGATTTGGAAACATACTTCCAAGTACATGCTGTTTGTATAGTCTTGCTTTAATTTTGTTACTGAAGGCAGACTTGATGTTACTTTATTTCATCAGTTATGGGCTTTCTTGTAGCTGCAAAAGCACACCACAGTTCTGACAGTCCCAGACAATACAGTTTCCTCTTGAAATTTAACAGGAAAACAACTGTCTCCTCTGGATTGATGAAACTGACAAGTTCAAGCTTTTGTTTTGTTGCCAGGTGCTGCAGGAGCCCAGCTCCAAAAGCCACCATCACTTCCTTTGGAGCCTGAGCCCACTGTAGAAGCAAGTCCAGCAGAAGCATCAGGAAAAATGAGAGAAAAGTAGGAAGAAAAAAGAGAAATACAGGGCCTGCCAAGATGACCCTGGAATAGGGTCCCTTTGTGAGGCCATATAGAAGGTGGTCATATGACCAGGCAGATGGAGGCCAGCACTGTTCCCTGGGTGGGCACTGCAGAGTTAAAACAATCCTGGCTGTGCATGATAAGAAGGAGCCTAAGGCCCATGCAGCCATTGGCTGGCCCAGTCATTCAGGAAACAGGTGAAGACAGGCTACATAACTTTGAGGCCCTGTGTATATAGCTCCAAGAGTCAACAGGCAATGATTAAAGACCATCACTCTATAGAGGACTTTCATCTTGTGGTCTACTGGCCATTTACTTGGTGCAAGGAAAGAGAGCTCTGCTTAAGTAGCCTGTGGTGATGAAATCCTGTCCTTATTAGACCGTGGGAAACACATCAATCCTCATGGCAAACACAACCTTGGATCAAGAACCTAACTAAATAAGGTATTTCCCCATCATTTCTTTTAGACTAAGTTGAGACCCAAACTGGTAAGTATTGCAGCTATATTTTACCCAAAGAGAATCTAGAACAAGTTCCTATTCTTAGAAGGAGTCAGAGTTTAGAGCCAGATCATGTCAATATTAAGAAGTAGGAGTCAAGGGCTGGTCTGCGGCATCAAGGACTAAAGAAAAAAGATGTGGATAGGGGCCTGAGGATGTAGCTCAGTGTTAGAGCACTTGCTTAGCATGCACAAGGCCCTGGATTCAATCCCCAGTACTGCCAAAAAAAGAAGAAAGCTTCTTAGCCAGGGAATTTTAATGTAAGACAATCAGTGATAAACATTGACCAGATGCTATCACAACACATCATATAGCCTTTGTGAAAATTATGTATCATCATTCCTTTGGGGAAAGTTGTTATTCAGGTATGAAAGAAAGAGGTCACATTAAACATGTTTGAAAAAAAACAAAAAACAATGAACTATGATCACCGTTTTCCTTTACCTGTTTCCAAGCCTGGTTTGAAGCTAGAGGAAGAACCTCAAAGTCAAGTTTTTGTTTGGTGCCAGCACAGCCTCTACAACACCCTGGATGGTAGGCCAATACTTTACTTATTGAGGGCCAGTACGAATTTTCCTTTTTTTTTGAGACGGTCTCATGTAGCCTAACTGTGTAGTTGAGGATGGCCTTTACTCCTGGCCCTCCTGCCTCTCCTCCAAGTGCTGGGATTAAAGGTATGTGCCACCATACCTAGCTAAATCTTCATACTTGGTCATGTACAAAGGTGCTTATCTCTGCCAGTGAGGTCTGGCAGCAACAGGGCTGCTCAGTTTTTCCATACTTCTCGGGGGCAGTGTGGTGCCTGTTACCCAGAAATATAGTCAAGAGGCAAAGCTTTTCACATTAACTTGGGCTATGATTTTCTTTAAAAGTAACAGGCTACACTGGTCTAGTCTTGTGGGCCTCTGGATTTCCAATTTCTCAGTCATTCTGGAGAGACAAAGAGTTATTCTAATTTCTAATATGGTGGCTACTCATACCACAATTAAAACTTTTTTAAAATTTATTTTTATATGTGTATAAGTGTTTTGCCTACATGTATGTAAGTGCACATCTGTCACGCAAAACCTGCAGGGGCCCGAAGAGGGTATTGGATCCCCTGGAGCTGGAGTTATGGATGGTTCTAAGTCCCCATGTGGGTGGTGGGAATTGAACATTGGTCCTCTGGAGGAGCAAACAATGTTCTTAACCACTGAGCCATCTCTCCAGCCCCACATAAAACAATTTCTAACAGAATTAGGAAAATGAGACCAAGTTCATAATCACAGATAGAGATGTGGCTGCTGATGACTAGATTTAGAGACAGGAAATTTGAAGTATAAAAAGCAATGGGAAAAATGGTAATGTCCTTACTGAATAACTCTGCATCCCAAAGACAGTAAAGTTTTGAAGTACGTGATCACAATGGACATTTTATTCTTGGAAAACAAATGAAACCCTCTAAAACCATTATCAGTTTGGGGCTGTAATACTTGCCTAGTATGAGCAAGGCCCTGAATTCAATCCCTAGCACTACAAAAGTAAAAATAGATAAAAATCCACTGTCTGAAAATGGCACAGTATCTCCTGTTGGACCAGGTTCCCCACAGATAACACATATGAATGAGTAAATAAATAGAAGTAAGATCTTGGTTAAACACAAACGTCATGGGGTTGGAGAGATCGCTCAGCGGTAAGAGCACTGGCTACTCTTGCAGAGAACCCAGGTTCAATTCCCAACACCCATATGTCAATTAACAACCATCTGTTAACTCCAGTTCCAGGGGAATCCGACACCGTCCTTTGACCTCCATGGGCATCGCATGACAAGGGTGCACTTACTTACATGCAGGCAATACAGTCATACACCCAAAAATAAAAATACTAAAAACATCGGTATCTGAACCTTGTACTGAAAGATGGAACAGGCCAACTGTGTTCTTAAGAATAATGGGGTATACAAAACTATATGATTAGAGGTTTTTCTATGTGGTGGGGCACAAAACTAATCCCAAATAGTTTCTGAAAGTTACATCCTTAGGCCAACCATTAGTTAAAAATGCAACAGAAATTAAAATGGAAGTCTAAAAATTTCTCATTTAACAACACAACCCTTAAAAGGGACAGAACATTTCCCCCAAAACGGGACTGCCAGGTATAGTGGTACACACCTTTAATCTCAACACTTGGGAGGCAGAGGAAGACAATCTCTGAGTTCTAGGCCAGCCTGTTCTAAATAGGGAGTTCCATGCCATCTGGGGCTACAGGGAGACCCTGTCTCACAAATAAAACAAGTTAAAGCTGTAATTGTACCACTGAAAGTGAAAGTATGAAAAAGAGCATGTAAACCTTAGGGATAAGAAATCTGGAGGACTATATTAATCAGATAAAGTACACTTCAAGGAATATTACCTGAAATGAATGTCTAAGGGGGGAAAACGGTCTTACGATAGTGTTGAGACTGGCCTCTAACTTGCTATGTAGCCTAGGCTATCCTTGAACTCATGATAAAGAGTGGCATTTCATAATGATAAAAAAAAAAAGGGTCAGTTTGGGGGCTGGCAAGATGGCTCAGTGGGCAAAGGTGCTTGCCACCAATCCTGATGACCTGCGTTTGATCCCCAGGACCTACATGGTTGAAGGAGAGAACTGACTTCCCCAAGTTGTCCTGCTCTCCACACATAGTGCAGCACTAGTGCATCACCCACATCATACACACACAACACATACCCTCTAACACTAAATAAATGCCCTCTCTCCTCTAAAAAGATCAGTTTGGGGCTAGTGTCATGGTTCAGCAGATAAAGCTGCTTGCCATGCAAGCCTGGTGACCCAAGTTCAATTTAAGGATCCTACTGTGGAAAGAGACTCAATCCCTGAAAGTTTTGTTTGGTTTTAAAGATTTTAGTATTTTTTGTGTATGAGTGCTTTGCCTGCATGTATGTAAGTACAACACTTGTGTGCCTGGTAGGCCGGAAGAAAGCATAAGATTTCCTGGAACTGGAGTTAAGGATGGGTGTAGCCACCATGTGGGTACTGGGAATCAAACCCAGGTTCTCTGGAAGAGCAGCCAGTGCTGTAATGAGACATCTCTCCAGCCATTGCTCATCCCCCTACATCCACTTGTTTTTTTGAGACAGGGTTTCACTATGTAGTCTTACCTGGCCTGTAACTATGTAGACTAGGCTGGCCTCAAACTCAAGAGATGCACCTGCCTCTGCGTCCCGAGTGCTGGGATTAAAGGTGTGTGCCACTTTGCCCACCCCCAAAAGTTGTGTTCTAATCTTCACAGGTCACAGTGGCACACTTATACCCACATTCATACAACACATACATCATATCACATACATAATAAAAAACTGAGGGCTGGAGAGATGGCTCAGTGGTTAAGATCATTGATTACTCTAGCACAGGTTTGATTCCCAGCACCCACATGGTGGCTAACAACCACCTGTAACTCCAGTTCCAGGGGTTCTGATGCCCTCTTATGGCTTCTGTGGACACTGCATGACATGGGTACATTTATATACATGCAAGACAAAACACTCATACACATAAAAATAAAAATTTGAAGATTTATTAGCATAAAATATATCAAACGTGTTTGTAGTAATATTACTTCAAAGCATGTTATGTGAAGGAAGATAGAATTAATTCACAATGATGGCTATATTAGCACTTCCTTGTTTAGCAAATGACAGAAATAGATAAAAAGTAGAGAAGGGGGCTGAAGAAATGGCTCAGCGGGTGAGAGCACTGGCTGCTCTTGCAGAGGGCCCGGGTTCAGTTCCCAGCACCCACATGGCAGCTGACAACTCTTCCTAACTCCAATTCCAGGGAATTTGATGCCCTCTTCTGACCTCTGTGGGCACTGCACGAAATAGGTGCACTTACATACATTCAGGCCATATGCTCACTTTTTTTTTTTTTTTTTTTTTTTTTTTTTTGAGACAGGGTCTCCCTGTAGCCCCAGCTGTCCTGGAACTCACTATGTAGACCAGGCTGGCCTCGAACTCACAAAGATCTGCCTGCCTTTGCCTCCTGAGTGCTGGGATTAAAGGCATGTGCCACCACGCCTGGCTATGCTCACATTTTTTAAAAAAAGTGAAAAGGACCTATGAACTACTTTGACCTGACATCATAGAACACTATAACCAATGACTCCAACCTGTCCATGGTGCAAGCCCAGAGCCTAGAGCACATTATGTAAGAACCCTACCACTAAGCTGTTTTCCTAGTCCAGAATATGTACATATGGTATGTTTAACAAAACAGACCATATCAGAGTCTCACAAGTCAGAACATAAACAGGGCATGGTTGTGTGTACCTGTAATCCCAGTACTCAGTAGGCTACGGCAGGAAATTTGAAAGCTCAAGGCCAGCCTGGGCTACATATACAGTCAGACTCTTGCAGAGAACGGGGTTGGAGGGAAGGGAGATATTACCAGATATTACCAATGAAAAATGTATGGATTAAAGACTCTAGATTAAAACATAAAAGATTATGAACAATTTTATGATAAAACTGACACTTGACAATAGAAAAAAAATCTTTGAAAAAACAAAAACAAGATGCCATGTAAAATCTTTGTCTTATTTATTAAAGAAATTGAATTTTTAACTCCAGGGTTATCCTTCAAAGAAAGTTGTGGCTGGGCTGAGGATGACTCGGTGGGTAAAGTGCATGCTGCATACACATGAATATCTGAGTTCAGATGCCAGAACCCATGTAAAAGCTAGGCATGGAGGCCCAAGTCTGCAGCCCCAGCACTGGAAAGTGGTCACAGGAGGATCTCTGCAGCCTCACTGGTCACCAGTATAGCCAAAACTGCAAGTGCTAGGTTCATTGAGAAACCTTGTCTCAGAAAAGAAGGTGTCAAATTGGCAAGATGGCCCAGAAAGTAAAGGTGCCTGATTCCAAACCTGATAACTTCGATCTCTAGGACCCACATGGTGGAAGGAGAGAACTTTTGCAAATTGTCCTCTGACCTCCACTTGAGCACAATAGCATGTACATACCCAACCCCTCAACACAGAGTTTTTAAAATGTAATAAGGTAGGAAGCAATGGAGGAAGATACCCAAAGTTGGCCTCTGGCCTCCGTCTGCGCATACCTATGTGCTGCATGTTCCAACTGTGTCATTTGGAATCAGCCATTCCTAAATGTATATGTATTTCAAAACCACATGTCCGCAGTATATACAAGTTTTGTCAGTAAAAACAGAAATCTGTCTTCAGCCTAACACTACACAAAGAAAAAGTCAAACTGGATTACAGACCTAACTGAAGATGAGGTCATAAAGCTCCTAGAAGAAACTGGGACTCCATTCTGTTTTCTAGATAAGAGACTTAGGACACTAACAAAATGGGCATCAGGCCATAGTTTGGAGCAAGGCACAAAACACCCAACAAAGAACTGACACCCAGAACAAAGGAAGAATGCTTAAAGAAGCAAACATTATACTAACCAAAACATCCAATTATGTTAGAAGTGGCCAATCAGCACATTAAAAAGTACCTGCCATTTGTTACATGGGAAATAGGAAAACTACAATAAAAAAAAACAAAACATCAAAATGGCTCAAATTCAACTATTTACTCCAAATTTTGGCCAGAATAAGAACTGTCATAAATTGTTGGGACTGTAAAATGGTCTAGCCACTTTGAAAAAAGGCCTTTCACCCAGCAATCCTGGTCCTATAGATTTCTACCTGAGAAAAGTTATCTATACGAGCACTTGTTGAGAAGAGCTTTAGTCACCTTAAAGGTGAAACTGCTATAAAACAACTACATGCAATGTGAATTAATCTCTAAAACATGCAGAATGAACAGCTTTATACAAGGGACCAAATAGTGAAGATCAAGGTTAGGGATGGGATGATGTGGAAGAGGCATGAAGGAATTACATGAGGTGTGTAAACCATAACTTGACAGGCGTTAGGTATATGAATTTGTCAAAACTTACCAAGCAATATACTTAAAATTTGTGCAGTTTCATAAGTTTTTACCTAAAAAAAAAAACAACAAAAAAGGCTGTATTATTAAAAAACTTTCAGATGACTTAAAAATAGTCTTAAAGAGACCCAGGAATTGCCTGTTCAGGTTAGTAAGAAGTGACAAATTATTAAGTTATCTGCTATATACTGTGCTAAATATTTGTCTGATAATCTTCATCAACATCCCTGAGGGCAAGGTACCATAATAGCTCCATTTTACAGATGAGAAAGGGACGCTAAACTAAGGTAATTCATCAAATAAAGAACATCACCATCAAACAACATTCACTATCTCAAAACCCTGCATGGATTTGAACACTTCCTGCTGATGGTTACTCCTGCCTCACTCAAGCCTGACAATACAAGAATCAAATGCTGACTGAATATGACAAAGTCAGATGAGGATTACTTGCTCTGGGCTGCACCTTACCTTCTGGCAGTGTTGTGTGCTGCAGCTTTTCCTAGGTTAAATCAACTTCTTGAGTAATCCAAGAGTGAGTGTACAGAGCTTCTAGGAGGGCCCCCTCACTGGCCAGGAGATTGTCAAACTTTTTGTCTTCATATAAGCCCCCATGTGGGAACCTTTGTAAAATGCAACTTAGAACACAGGGCCAGGGACCATACCTCACCTCTCAGCTCCATCCTGTTTCTGCATATTCTATTCTCAGATGACAAATTCTACTCATTCTTACTCTTGGAGCTTAGTCTGCTTCACAAAAAGGCATTCTGCAGAGAGGTATATGTATATTCAAGTCTGCTTGCACTCATGTTCTAAGAAACCAGACCTGCACTACTTATCTCAGACCCATGTTGATACTTTCTATGCTAACCATGAGACTGACCAACTACTTTTTCATTTTTGGTCTTTTTGAGACAGGATTTCCCTGTAGCTCCAGCTGGCCTAAACTTGCTATGTAGACCAGGCTGGCCTTGAACTCATAGAGATCCACCTGCCTCTGCCTCCTGAGTGCTGGTCCTAAAGGCATGGGCCACCACACTTGGCCCCATCAACTACGTCCTGACTGTGTGGCAAGCTCTCTATCTACCTAGCAACTATTAGTAATTAAGGCCCATCCACTGAAAAACACTTCCTTGAGGTAGTGGGGTTGTAGTTCAGTACCAGAGTGCTTGCCTAGTACACATGAGGCATAGGTTGAGAGGAAACACAAAGCTCTAGCTACCTGCTCACTATATTTCTAAAGTCTTTCAACATTACCAATAACTGGAGAATTTTTTGAGAATACATACTAAGGGTGCAGGAACTGAACAAACAACTTACGGACTAAGAAAAAGATAATGTGGAAAAGTTTAGGTGTTATTACTAAGAGGGGCTGGACAGATGGCCCAGTGATTAAGAGCATTGGCTGCTCTTCCAGAGGACCCAGGCTCAGAACTGGGTTCAGTTTTCAGCACCCACATGGCACCTAACAACCACCCTTAACTCCAGTCTCGGGGGTTCCCATGCCTTCTGGCCTCTATAAGCATTGCATGACATGGGTACACTTACCTACATACAGGCAAAACATGCACATTAAAATAGAGATTTAAAAATGGTGAGTTATTCTAATTTTGAGGAAAACAGGAATCTCTTCTCATTTAAGCTTTTCTAATAAAACAGGCTTAAGTCATGGTGGCACACATCTGCAATCCCAACACTTGAGGCCTGTCAAAAAAAAAAGGTAGCAAGTTGATTATTTTTAACTGGGTGCAGAGGCAGAGGATGAAGTAGCGGCCAGAGAGATCCTTAATGAGATGTTTGCTTTCAATCTCAAACTGTATAACTCTGTAGGCTTTAATTTCCTTAGAAAAAGAGTAATTAAGACTTCCCTTCTTACTCAGAGCAGGGAGGGGAGGTTTGAAATTTCCAAAACTGCTGCAGAGCTGGGTGTGAAATGCTGGCTGGCTTGCCACCAGCTGCCAGGAATACATAGAACTGTCTGCTCTTTGAAATGGCTGTGCTCTAACTCATCTCCAACATGGCTGCTCCACACACAGGTAGCTTGTTACTGTCAACCCGACAGGTCTACTGTCAGGGCTCAGTGTGGAGGACTGCCTAATCAATGGTAGGGAAGAATAAACATCTCGGTAGTGAAGGGACATGTAAATCACTGTATCAGTCCAGAGTGAGGTGGGAACAAAATCAATTAGACTTAGGATCCCTGAAATGTAAATTGTTTTGAATGTTTTTAAAAACACACAGACATCTTTAGTTTAAAAAAATACAACATGACAAATTTATTTATGAGGCTGGGCTTTTATGAGGTCAAACTCTTTAATGGACATGTCAAAAAAAACCCACAAAGCACATGATCTGTTCTAAACACAAAAGCACATTCCAGTTGTAAAAGCAAATTTCTTCAAGGCTCAGAAGAAACAAGTATGTCTTCTGCTGCAGAAAACACATCCAGGACTGGGCAAGGACGCCGAGCCCAGGCCACAGGAGCCTTTCACCAGCCAGCTCACAATCTCAGGAGCTGGGGCAGAAAGGCTTGGTCTTTCTAAGCAAGTGCAGACTGGTTGGCTTATAGCTCCCCAGGTGTCTTCAGCCTGAGACCATGAAGCACAGGACTCTTGTCCTTACTTGTGGCTCTGACCTAAACCTGAGAGCAGCAGGCTGAGAAGGTACAGTCCTCAAATACTGTCACTGTTAACACTGAATGGACATCCTGATTCTGCCCCAGTGCAGTGAGCTTCATGAGGCTTTATGAGTCCAGGCCTGCGAGTGTGGGTCTGCCCCTCCGGAGTGGGCAAGGAGAGAGCACCTTCTGTGGCCAGACCAGCTCTCCAGGTCTTAAAATACTTGATGGTGTTACATATACTGGGGACTTAGGAATCGAGGTTTTTAACGTCTGTAACACACAACATAAAAATAAAAAATCCAGTCTCATTAGTATGACTAAATTTCAATTAAAACTTGAAATATTTTTATATAATTGCCAACAGGCTGGAATGTATCTGTACAGTTTAATCTGCTGTTATTTCTTTGGCTGTCTTCCAATTAGATCTAGGAATTGTTCTGATACCCATAAGCCTATTTCCCAAGTTATGTTTTTCCTGGAATTCTTAAGTTGGGCAGTTCTCCTTCCTCATAAGAATTGCCCACGACCTTCCTAATGACCAGGGTATACTTCTGAGTAGAAGAGTCCTTCAGCTGAAATGGCATCTCCAAGGCCCACAGTTCGTACAGGGTCTTTACACACCAACACTGGTGTGAAATGGAAGGATACCCCTTCTCTGTGCCACTCCACCACTGGCTTGTTTGGGTTCAATACTATTCTGGAGCCTGCCTCTGAATGGGAAGTCATGAACTCCTGGGGTACCCTCAGAGACACTCGGTTGGCATCTATGGTTTCAGTGGCACAGGCTTGTGTCCCAGCCACACGAGCTCCTGCAGCTACAGCTGCGAGCTGGTTGGCCCAGTGTCCATCCACAGTTGCCAGGATGTGGTATACCAGTGTGTGGAAGTGGATCCTGGTGAGGTCCGAGGTTCTGCTTTTACTCCTGCCATGCTCTTTCAAGATCCAGAAGAGGATGTCACTGACCATGCCTATGTCAGGAACACCGTTCCAGGAAGAGAGGGAAGCATGAGGTCCAGATGCTGACTGGCTGAGAAATAGCAGCTCCTGTTCATTCAGCCCAAGGGAAGTCACTGCAGGAAAGACCTGCTAACAGAAACAACGACAGGTCTCTTTCTGGTGGACACAACCCAACTCCTTGGGTATCGTAGGACACAGAGCCAATGAGTGAATGTCCTGAAGCCAGTTTCAGGCTACATCTCAAACTCGCTGCCTCCATGACCACTTGGGAGAAACTTCAGAGTTGCTCCAACATTGTCTCAGACTCAGTACTTTGTTATATGCCATTGTTAAAAAAAAGGGGGGGGGCAGAAAAATACATATTCTGGAGGTCCTTCTATGTGCCTCTTTTTTGCCTCTGCATGCAGAACAGATACTCTTACCACTGATGGCTGTGGGTGCCAGAAGGCATTACACCAATCAAATGGAAAACACCGAGTAGTATGAAGTCAAAGTCATAATAGCTCTGTGTACCCAGCATTAAGAATGTAGTTTCATGCTGGAGCTAAACTGTGTGTGCGTGCACGGTATGTGAACACATGCACTTGTAGAGGCCAAAGGTTGACATTAGGTGGGTGTCTTCCTTAATCACTCTCCATCTTATTTTTTTGAGACAGGGTCTCCCACTGAACCTGAGGTTCACCAATTCAGCTAGACAGACTGGTCAGTGAGCTCTAGAGATCCTCTTGTCTCTGCCTCCTCAGCACTGGGAGTACAGGTGTGCTCTACTGCACCTCAGGTCCTCATGCTTGCATGGCAAGCACTTCACCAATTGAGCCATCTCTCCAGTTCCCAGCAGCTACATTTTAAGCAGGTATGGGTTATGAAGAGGGTTGCCCTGAGAGATGACCCTAAGTGAAAGGGCACAAATGGGTGCCCATCTCCCATTTCATAGAGAACCACTATATGCCCTCAGCTTTTCTATTTCCCTCTTTAGAACCAGGTAAAGGGCTCTATACAGACACAAGTCCCTTCACGTGGATACAAGTGTGTGTGCATGTGCATAAAACTTTACCAAGAAATTAGTGGCCTGTAACTATTGGTGTGATGGTGACTTTCATTTACTGTATGTTCTGTGCCAGGGAATGGGCTAAGAGCTTTCTTCCTATAATTCTTCCTGTGGGAGGAGGAGACTGCCTTCAATCTAAACAGTAAATCTCAGAAGGGTTAAGCAGTTTCAGAGAAAAAAAATGAAATAAAAGTGATTCGTTTTAAAAAAGGAAAACAATACCTAATCTCAAAAAGGGAAACAACAAACTACACTGCCTGCATGTCACTGGTGCTGACAGGGGAGGAAGTAAGCCTGTGCAGGGGCAGGGGGTTATGGGAACTCCCTGTTCAGTCTTCTCAATTTGAACCTAAAATTACCCTAAAAAGTGAGGCTGGGCTTTTTACTAGTTTTCCTTCAAGTTCTAAAAAAAAAAGGGGGGGTGCAGAGGATGTTGTTCACAATCAGTCACTTGTCTAGCATGGAGCAAGATCCTGGGTTTTATCCTTAGCACCACCAAAACAAAACAAAACTAAAAAAACAACTAATATAGCATTTTCCACCTGCCAGACTGATGATATGCACCCCCCTGCGCCCACAGCATTTATTGGTTGGTTGAGATAGTGTCTTGCTGGGCTGCCCAGGTTGACCTGGAACTCACTATATAGTTCAGGCAGGCCTTGAACTTGACTTTCTTACAAACACTTCCAAACCACTAGGCTTGATGGTGTGCACCATCACACCCAGCCATGAATGCAAAGTTTTCATCATATTCAGGTAGCAAGGACACAAGGAAGGAAGCACTTGTAACTACTGCTATCGGGAAGGACATCAGAATAGTTCCCACAAAGGGCAACCTCAAACTTACAAATGCTTTGTTATGCTCCAATCCAGCAATCTCTGCTTCTGAGAATTTATTAAACATACTTCCTCACAGGAAAAATAAAGTAATGCAAAGATTTATTCACTGTACCATCCTAGTATAAGCAGTAAGCAATCAAAATGCCATTAGGAAGATACAGGTTGCTAGGTTGGAAAATGCCTTTAATCCCAGAGGCAGGGGCAGGTGGATCTCTGTGAGATTGAGGTCAGCCTGGTCTACATAGCAAGCATAGCAAGTTCCAAGCCAGCAAGGGCTACAGAGAGACTCAGTATCAAAAAAAAAAAAAAAAATTTACAGGTTGAGGCTGGAGAGAGTTCAGTTGTTAAAAGCACTTGCTACTCTTAACAGAGAACCCAGGTCTGGTTCCCAAGACTTACATGGTAGTTCATAATGGTCTGGAATGCCAGTTTAAGGGATCTGGTGCCCTCTTCTGGCATCCACAAGTTCCAGGCATACATATGGTGCACTTACATACATGCCAACAAAACACATAAAATTTAAAAATATATTTTAAAACTAGGTACAGGTTAAACTGAGGGACAGCCCCACATTCACTTTAACCATATGGTTATGGAGAGACCAAGGATGCTCTCCATGTTATGATACAGGAAAGATAAAAAACTCATCTGATGAAAAAGAGCAAGTGCAGAAGAGTGTGTTCAGCATACTTCACTGCCCTTTTCTGTAAAAGGGTATGAAAATGATGTATTTCCATGTCTTTTTATGTGTACACAATAGCTATGGAGAGACACAGGAAACTGATGAGCCACCTAGGGGTGGGTTCAGTGGAGGAAGCTGAAGAGCCAGGGGTGAGTCCTCACTGTAGCTCTTCTATGTCTTCTTGGTGTGGTTCTACATTTTCAGTCAACACAGTAAAGTGAAAAGTAACCTGCCTGAAATCATAAGGCAATGAGCAGACAAGGTAAGGTGCTAATCTAGGTATTTAAAATTAGTTTTCATGTGTCTCTCACTGGGCTTTATCCTAGTCACCTCTTTGTCCAAAAGGAGGAGACCTGATATGCTCAGCAGTGAGGGAATCAGGTTCACCCAAAGTCTCTTTAAGTTTAACTGAAATCAGCTGAATTGGGCTTGCAGTTTTTGACTCTGAAATTTGCAAAACAAAACAAAAACACACAACCCAAACCAGAAACAAAGAACACCCTTCACTTTCAACTTCCCCACTCCAGAAGAAATATGACTCAGACCATCAGCTATACTGCCACAATTCTAACATAATAGGAGGTATTATTCCTGAACAGGCCTGGGTTTCTGGCTCCCCTGGACTCAGGTTTGAATAACATAACACACATGTCAGTCAGTGAGCCAGCTGGAATCTAAAACATCTGTTCTCATAGGAGAAAGGAAACTGTGAGGCCCTGAGGACCAGGTCCAGAGGAGGCCTGTGAATGGCCTACGTGCTTACCTGATGCACAATGCTGCTCATGAGCTCCCTGTTGGTCATACTGGCCAGTTCTAGGTGAACTGGAATACCAGTGGGGATGTCAGAAATGGAGGTCACAACCTGCAGAGAGGAGGACGGTGCTATTAGGACAGAAGAAGTGAGGCAGGAGGGAAGACTAAACAAGATTAAGTCCTGACAGTCCATATGTACCCTGGTAACTGCCTCTGCACATCCTCATGAGAGTTACAAGCAATGTGGGTCCCCAATGCCTTTGTGGACAAAGGCTGCTTTTCCCAACAGAAAAACTATGCTCTGTAGGGAGTCACCAGGGTACAGAATCAGAGGACAAAGAACTGCCCCTGTGTGTTCATGTTGGCAGCCTATTCTTGGGACCTAAACCAAGCAGTTGACCCCAACTGCTGTACAGATCTGCAGGAAGCACAGCATAGCTGGTGTGAGGTGAGATGGTACAAATAACACAGGACACAGCTACAAACCCTGCAGCTTGCAGCCACAGTGAAGCACAGAATGCAGAGCTCAGGCAAGATGCTCTCAACTGCCCTACCCCCACTGCTACCAAAGTATGTCCTTGGGACAGCAGGACCTAAGGCAAGGCAACGCCAGCTACAGAGGCCAGACGGAGCCTGAAGGAAACACCAACTGAGGAGCATGGGATTCTGTAAGAGCTATTACCTCCAAGAGTCTGTTCCTCTGAAGCTCCTTGCTTTGTCCCTCCATCATGTGCAATCCAGAGAGGACCACCAGGTCAGGCTGGAACTCCTCCAGGCTAGACATAAACACCTCCAGCATATTCATGGCCCCGTTGGAGAGGTCGTGAGAGAAGATGAACCGGTTGGCATGGGGAGCTTTAAACGGGCCCCACTCCTCCCCTAGAAAAGCCCAGTCAACACAATGGGAAGAAAAGGAAGAGGCTTTCAGTCTCCCAGCTGTGGGACACTTGCAGGTGCCTCGCTGGAGTCTTGGTTCTGAGCAAGCTGGCTTGTGGCCGAGTGGACACAGGCTACAGTGATCATAGGTCAGCAAGGTGCTGCATCCAGGACATGACAGAAATGGATAAAAACAAACCCCAAATCTAACCCCAGATCTATAAAAGAACAAAAAGACATGGCATGGGTGCCTGTACCTTTTAAGTGCTACCTTTTTCAAGGTCATCAGCAACCTATGAGTTCCAAGAAAGCTCTACCATCTACTGTGCTTTCAAACACAGAACACAGTTACAGAGCACCTGACTTCTAAATACCAACAAAGCACATACCATGCATACCCAGCAGACAGGACAGGCTACCTTTCCAAGGGCAGCGGCGTGAGCACCTTCCACTGAGCTGGAAGCTATGCAGGCTGATGCCCCAAGAGCCAAGCTGACTGTACTTCTTCCCTGCTACCCCCTGGTGTTTTCTAGGCACTCTGTCAAAAAAGTAAGATTATCTGGCCACCTCAGCCATTTCTGTGTAGAACTGCTTTGGAGTGAAGACTATTCAAAGTCAAGTTCAAGTGCTACTTTCTAAATGTGTCCTTCCTCTGTCCCCATCCCCATGAAGATTTGACCACTTTCTTCCCAGGGCCACCAATCACCCTATTATAGGGCCTGGCCTACAGTTTTGTACTGATCCATTCAAATGTCCATTTCCTATAGTCACCTGTGAGCTGAGGGGCAGGCCTGTGCTGTCTTCTATCCTCAACATCCCTACTGCCTCACAGCATATCTGTCACACAGTCATGAGAATGAGTTAGTCAAGAGCAAGGGAATAATAAAAGCAGACAGATGACCTAAATGATCAAGATGACAAAAAATATGGCTATGAACTCTAAATCCAACATTTCTCAAAGCAACAAGACTGCACAAGGGTAAAAACATACTACACTGCTATTCTCCATAGAGCAAGCCTGGGGCTCTACCCTTAAAGAGAGAGACTGCTAGGAAACACTGTCCAGCTCAGCCTAGGAGAAAAGGGCCATACAACACTCAAAGCAACTGTTTTATTGTGTTTTTTTGTTTTTGTTGAGACAGGGTCTTCCTGTAGCACCAGGAAGTTGTCCCAGGCCTGGAACTTGCTATATAGACCAGGTTGGCCTCAGTCTCACAGAGATCCACCTGCCTCTGTCTCCAAGTGCTGGGACTAATGGTGTGCACCACCATGCCCAGCAGTAACTGACTTCTTCAGGGAGCGACAGAGGCAAAAATAAATAGGCAAAGACAAGGAGTGTGGACAGCTGTTGTTTCCATAGGACCCAGGGACTGATGGAGTGGCCTGAGATGTAAATGGACTAGAAGTCAGCCTGTAGCAGCAACTAACAGCCCCTTTCTCACAAAACTTGTACTTATTTCTGGACGCCATTTCTCAATTTATCATCTTGACAAAACCTTGGTGTAGTGATTGCTGGGTTCCCAGCCCAAGCCTGAAAGCAAGCTTCTCTAGAATGCCTGGGTGGGAAAGAAAGAAAGAAAAAAAAGCTGATGGATGCTTTTGGAATTTACCAATCTAGGCTAAACAGAAGCCAGGGACTACTTCTGTTAAGAAAGTTACCCTGAGAGCTATTATCACTAGACTGTCCCTTCTTGGGGCCTATTGAAACAAAACTTCACGAGGTTATTTGGGGGGGGGGCACTGCTTTGTACCGAGAAAAATTAGGCAAAGGAAAGAACAGAAATGAGGACAGAAACAATCTCCTCATGATGAGCTTGGCTGGCTCCTTAACGCCATGGAAAGCAGTCTCAGACAGCAGCAGACACGGGCTCCACTTTGAAGTCACCACAGAACAATGACCTGTAATGTGCCCAGGCAGGCTGTGGGCACCTACAGGAGTGGCAAGAGAGGAATGTGGCAGCAGCAGGGCCCCAGAGCACATCTTAGCTATCCAGAATCTTCCAGGCAGCAGTCCTGCTCATGAGGCAGCTTGCAAAGCTAACCACACTACTGGATCCACCCTCACTGCCATGTTCGATGGTGAGGTGTCATGTCTATGTCCCACTTGTGTACCATTAAAAGTCAATTTCTACTAAAACATTCTGCTAATTTTAGATCCCATTCTCCCTAAGTCCCGACTGTTTCTAGTATGTACCCAGGAGAGAACCAGAAACAATGAACTCCTTTCTGTGTACTTGGAGAAGAGGGCAATTTTCAAGGAGCATGTGTTTTATATCTTCTATCACAGTGAATTACTCTAGGATGAGGTTCTCTTGTCTGATGTGGAAGTGGCTCCCTAAAGTATTAAGTACCGCTATAAGGTATAAATTAAGTCTGTTTGGATGCTTGGTCCTTTAACATGAATAATGTGTTGAATCAGAAGCCCAAGAGTTCCCGAGCGGAAGAAAAGATAGCAGGAAATACACAGAATCAAAATGTGTTCAGGTATTGAAGATTCACACAGGAATCAGACCTTTAGTCTTTGTAACTTATAACATCCACTGGATGGGGTTAATTTGGATTTATAAACACTAGACTACTACACAACAGGAAGAAACATAAGTAATGCTAGATACAGGACATATCTACTTCACTTCAACAAAAAAAGTGCTACCATAAAAGCTTGCCAGAGGACTAGAACCAACCCCAAGCAGCCTGGGAGAGCTGGGCCAGCAAAGGCCTGGGAGGAACCCAGCAGAGCTGAGCAAATGTTAGCTGCCTTTCTGAACTCGTGGTAATAAAGACTTTATTATTAGTCTGTGTTTGGGCTAGAGATAACTTAGTAGGAGAGAGCTTGCCTATCATGCCTAATGGCAATCAAAATAATCATGAGTGTGTGCTTAACAGTCTCGTTTTTACTGATATTTGCTTTCCCCTGCAGCCTGGCTTCCCCTGGGTCCAGTACTGTTGGTAGACAGAGCACTATCTTCAATACTATCAAACTACCACCCTCCATTGAGATGATGGCTAATATCAGCTCTGTGGATCAATAGGTCAGGAAATCTTGAGTACAGGAGCACAAACAGGAGTCTGCTAATTTACAAGGTTGAATTTCTGGCACAGTCAAACCCCAATCTGATACTACACAGTCCTCTGCCCCATCCTGCCACCAGCACTTCCTCCCACCCTTACCTGCCAGATACTCCAAAATGAGGTGGAACTCATCTACTTCCTGCAGTGACTCTGGTGGAACAAATACATTATCATCAAGAAGTTCGTGTAGCTTTGGACCAACTGGACCACAAAGAAGAACCTAGATAGAGATAAGCAGCATGAAGTCAGTCTCCTTAGAGACTGGGTGCTTTCCAACAAAATCCAAACAGTAACCAGCAAGGTGCATTCAGGCCAATTCTGCTCATTCAGCAAACTGTCAGAATACCGATTTCAAAACCTCTTGGTTTAGAAGTATGGGGCACTGGGGCCCTCCATTACCAGGGCTTAGGTTCTAAGGGTATTACAACATACCTTGAAAGTGGAGGACCACAAAAGACCAAAGTCATAGCTGTTCAGCACCTATGAAACTGTGGTCCACACTCTGTTATGGAATATTTGTGTCTCCCCATAATCCAGACATTGAGGTCCTAACCCCACTATGATGGTGTTTGGAACTACAGTTTTTAGGAGTGAAGATTTAAAGAAAATTTTTAAAATTTATTTTATGTATTTTGCCTGCATGTATTTTTATGTATGTAAGTGCACCTGTGCAGGCAGTCCCCAACAAGGCCAGAAGAGGGTGTCAGGTACCCTAGAACTGGAATTATAGCCGGTTGTTAGCCACCATGTGGGTGCTGGGAACGAACCTAGGTTCTCCTGCAAGAGCAGCCAGTTCTCTTAACCACTGAGCCACCTCTCTAGCTCCTAGGAGTGAAGATTAAATACAGTCTTACAACTGCTGATCTTTCAAGAAAAAGAGAGGGAGGGAAAGATCTGTGCACACCAAGCAAAAGCCAAGTGAGAAAATGGTGACACAGTGGCCACCTGCAAGCCAGCAAAAGGACCCTTAGCCACCTTGGTGCAGCCATTTTGGATCTTCCAGTCTTTAAAACTGTGAGAAAATACATTTTTGTTTTTAAACCAGTATAGCTGGGATTACAGACAAGCATTACTGTGCCCAGCTTCTACTTTTTTTTTTTTTTTTTAACTTCCTTGTACCCCCTATAGGAAAACAGACATGGAATGTTTGTTCACAACTGACAGATGAAAACAACTGTTTGGAAGTTTACACAGTACAGGAAAGGGTGGCCACTTCTCTCCTCAAGCATTCTAAGTATGCGTAACTGTTATGTGACCAGAACAGTCTTTCACACAGGAAGATTAATAAGCAACTCAATTTGGGAAGCTTAGCAGGAGATGCTCTGCAGTTTTTCCAATTCTGTGTCTTTAACAACCTGGGATCCCCTGGTTGTAACCTCTAGACGTCATACCAGTGCACTGTTGTTTCTGCCACAGCCCTCAAGGTCAGGCTGACAGAGAAAAACCTAGAGACTATCACTTCAGTTCAGATTTGATGCCACTCAGAAACTTCCAAAAGCATTTTCACTTGTGCTTTTTTTGTGTGCACTGTTTTGTTCAGAGGTACTCTCCTGTCTCCAAGGAACCTTGGCTTCTGGGTAAAAATACACCTTTCTCAGAGCTTTCTACCTCACCGTGTGCCTGTTAGTTGCCATTTTGAAAATGTTTGATTCTGCCACTTTATTTCCTTCCTCTAATAATTCTTTTTTTTTTTTTTTACAGTTTTTTATTGAGTTTCTGTGCATTTCACTTAAAAGATCTTAATCAAATTTAGACCCTTTCCTTTCTCCCTACCCCCCATAGCCCTCCACCAGAATTCAAGTATTCTGTCATATATATGACGTATATATGACTTAACAGTCAAGCATTTGTACCCAGTCTATCTAGAGTCTCTCCCTTAAAAAAGAGCTACTCTCCCTTACTCCTTCCTCTAATTCTTGCCTAGAATTTCATTTTGAGACAATAACAGCCAAATACCTGAAATTACAAAAAATAAACAAAATATACGAAATAATGGTTTTCAAAGCAACTGGACATTAGGACAGTGATCTCTGCAAAGTGGGTATAGACAAATCCCTTGAGTCCTTCAAATGTGTTGGCATCTTACTGTGAAAGGGTTTCCAGATGTACAAACTATGGAAGAATTTTTCATTAGTACCCATACCACAGGAAATGTTATTAAGGGGGCTGGAGAGATGGCTCAGCAGTTAAGAGCACTGGCTGCTGTTGCAGAGGACCCAGGTTCGATCCCAGCACCCACATGGAGGCTAACAACCATCTATAACTCCAGTCCCAGGAGATTCAACACCCTTTTCTGACTTCTGAGGGCACTGCATGACACAGTGCACTTATATACATGCAGGCAATACACTCATACACATTAAAAAAAAAAAAAAAGAAATGTTAAGCCATTCAGGTAGCACAGAAATGACAGTAGATAGAAATATGGGTCAGAACACAGGAATGAAGAAAACAGAAATGGTGACTCTGGAGAAGTCAAAGGTAAAGAATGGTTTAAAGTAAGATTTATAATTTACATAAAAGTAGCAATAACAGTATAAAGACTGGAGAGACCTGTGAGATGGCTCAGTAGGTAAAGGCACTTGCTGCCAAGCCTCATAATCGGAACTAAACACCAACATGGTAGATAGGGACAACTGGCTCCTCTGACCTCCACCCAGTTTCTGTGACATATACACAGCCCAAAGACATATATATCATACACATACACTAAATACATATATAAAATGTGCTAATTTTTTGGGGGGGGTCTTTTTGAGACAGGGTCTCCCTATAGCTCCAGCTGTCCTGGAACCAAGGAGACCAAGCTGGCCTGGAACACATAGAGATCTGCCTGCCTCCACTTCCTAAGTGCTGGGATTAAAGGCATGAGCCACCATGCCTGGCGTGATAATTCTTTTTAAAATTTTCATTCATTCATTCATTCATTCATTCATTCATTCATTCATTCGTCTTTTTTGAGACAAGGTCTCCCTCTAGCTGCAGCTGGCCTGGATTCGCTAATGGAGACCAAGCTGGCCTCGAACTCACAGAGATCCGTCTGCCTCTGCCTCCCAAGTGCTGGGATTAAAGGCGTGGGCCACCATGCCTGGCTAATTATTTTTATTTTATGTGTATGAGTGTTATGCCTGCATGTAAGTAAGTGCACCCGTGTTGTGCAATGCCTGTGGAGGACAGAAGAGGCTGTTGGATCCCCTGGAGCTGGAGTTACGGACAGTTGTTAGCTGCCATGTGGGTGCTGGGATTCAAACCTGGGTCTTCTGTAAGACCAGTCAGTGTTCTTAACCGCCGAGCCATCTCTCCAGTCCCTGATAATTTTTTTTAAAGAGGTCACCACTAAAATCTAGTATATAGATTTAAAACACCTCAGAAGTCTGCAAAAATTGTTAAGAAAAAATGTAAGGCATATTTAAAAACAAAAGACTGGAGGGGAAAAAATGAAAATGTAATCAGTATTTTAAAGTTCCTTGAGTATATGCATGTTAAATCAGGGACCTGAAGGCCCTTTCTGAGGTGCATGAGACAGAGCAGTCCAATCTCAGCAGAAAAAACAAGACAGCAAGACCAGCCACCCCCCACACAGTAAGTTCATGGCCCTACTTAGTGCCTGGCTAGAATTTCTTCAAGACCCAGATCCCATTAGGGGATATGAAGGCTCTTTCAGGGTTGCCACCCTCCCACCAAGAGGCCTCTGTCATGGCTGCTGTCTCTCTTAACACAGCTGTTCCAGACCCGAAGGCCTGATCTCCTGCTGCAGACCATCTCCTAATGAAGCTCTTCTGAAGGTTTGTCAGCTTCTTTCCACTGAGCCAGCTGCTCTGGTGTTTTCTACTTCTAACATATAGCTCTGATAAACTGTGGAATTCTGGCCTCCAGGCACAGCATGGCCATTGTCCTCCTGAACTCTCAGCAGCTATGAACCTGCATAAGACCCATAGAAAACAGCCCATTAAAGGCCTGTATCGGGGAGGAGGGACTTACTAGGCCACATACTCACAAGGTTCTCCCCCTGCAAGGATACAGAGGCAATTAATGGTTACTGGGAGGGAGAGAGGGAGAGGGGGAGAGAGGGAAAACAGGGGAGAGGGACAGGGAGATTTCTTCAGTGGTGTAGCAGCTCACAGGCTGCTTATGTTTCATCCGTGCTCCTTTAAGTAACCCTAATTAAACTCATTGGTTCACCAGGCAGACTTGGGTGGACGTCTTACATTAGCCTGTTGTTGGTGCTCTCTCTAGGGTGAAAAGAAATGTTTGTCTCCCCAATAAAGAGTCACATAACATAAATAGACTGTGATAAACTAAAGGTGTACAATATAAACCCTAAAGCAACCACTAAAATAGAGAAACCAAAAATTATAGCTAAGAAATCAAAGATGATAAAATGAAAGCATAAACTATAATTTGAAAAAATACAGAAAAAGGGTAAAGGGGGAGATTAATGGGTAAGACAAACAGGAACAAATGGAAAGATGTCAGACTTAAATCTAATAAATAGACCAATGACAACAGTAAATGTAAATAGTCTAAATACCCCAATTATAAGGCAGAGACTGAGAAACTGGATCAAAAAGCAAGCCCCAATTGTGTACTATCTATAAGAAACACACATTAAATATAAGAAACGTTCAGAAACTTGGCTAAAGAGGAAATAAAACAGAACAGGAAGTGGTGGGGAGCATGGATATCTCTATACTTATTCCAAAGATCTTGGTTTTACAGAAAGAATAGCTCAAAAAGAAAGTTCCATAGTCTTTTGCATTCTTCTACTGACCATTCATTAAAGGATGTATCACCAAGCCCCATGAAAAAGAAACAGAATCCTAGCTAACCCAACAATGACAACCAGGAGCAGGATAGACAAAATTATTTCTAGGGTGGGAGGGATGGCTTAGTAGTTAAGAGCTCTTGCAGAGGATGGGAATTGAATTCCTGGCATTCGTTCCCGGTGGCTCACAACTGCCTATAACTCACTCCAGGGAGATCACTGCATGCACAAATACACACACACACTTCAAAATCAAGATAAATCTTTTAGAAAGGGGGCTGGAGAGATGGCTCATTGGTTAAGAGCATTAGTTGCTCTTGCAGAGGACCTAGGTTCAGTTCCCAGCACCCTCATTTTGGCTAATAACTATATGTAACTCCAGTTCCAAGGGAGCTGACACTCTCTTCTGATCTCTGTGAGCATTGTGTGTACATGGTGCACTTATATACATGCAG